ATGGTGCTTCATCTCGCCCGGCCAAGAGGGTGCGGGCGGGCTCTCGTTGTGCTGAGGCGACATCTCGCTTCCGGGGCTCGAACTGCCGGGGGTGTGACCCCCTGCGCCGCCTCCCATGCCACCGAGATAGCCCGTCGTCGGACTGCCCGACACGGAACTTCCGCCTCCTGAAACAGTAACGGAGAACATTCGAGATCGATCCTCCAGATATAGACTTATCTTGAACGGAACAGAACGAGGGGGTGGAACATTTCGATTCGCTGCAGCGTTCCATTGACGCGTTACGGGGATGATCCAAAGTCGTTCGGGGGTGCCGGGTGAATTGATTTATCGAGCTGCGAGGGAATATTGCGGGAGTCGATGAGGAAAGAGAGTCAGGGTTTTGCATCTTTAGAAATGGAATCGAGTTGAAAATATCGAGATTGGTGGAAGAAAGGGGTTGGTTTTAGACGATTTGATGGATGAAAATGTAGGGCTGGGGAGTGGGGATTTATTTATTGAATTAGGTTAGATAAAGATTGGATCGATTTATCAGAGTAGGAGGAAATATTATATGATCGACAGTGAGAAGATTTGAGATTTCACGAGAATTTGAGATTTGAGAAATTGATTTAAATTGAGAATATCAGAGTTGGTGGAAGAAGGGGATTGGTATGTCGATGGAGATTCAGGACTGGTTTATTAAGTTATGTGGAAACTGAGAGAAGAAATCGTGGAAAGAGCGCGGTTTGATAATTGATCGAACCAGAATATCCAGATTGACAACAGGAAGAAATTGATTTATAAGTATTTAGAAATATGAGTATTTCGCGAATCAATGTTAATTGAAATTAAAATATAACTTAGGATTTACATCGGTTCTTAGAGATGATTTCATCGAGGAAGATGTGAGAAAATACAGCGCGCTGATAATTCATTGAACCAGTTGTAATCTCGAAATCGAAGCCGAGATATGTATGTGGATCGACAAGGTTATCGAACGGTTTTATGCCACTGGCATTACGATTCGATCTCTCTAATTGATTTATATCTTCTGAGTTGGTATTCGTGAGTAGCACTTGCATCGTGAAGAAAATTGCGGCATGGAAGTTTTTATGCCTTTCTTTCTTATCTTGATTAACGCGATCACATATCACGCATTAAAATCATCTCGTTAAGGCGTATTTCTAAATAAACTAATCCTATAATAATACTAAATACTACTAATAATACTAATACTAAATAATACTAATAATACTAAATATTTTTGATCTGATTAAAAGTGTATAGAAATTGCTTCCATTTTGACGTAATCGATGTCTATAATATGGAATAGTAATTAATTGGAAACATCGTGTGATACCATTATTTCCACGGGTATTTCAATATATACGATCAAAATAGTGATAAACCGATTTTTTGCTCCAGATTATCGCGTAACCATTATATGCGAACACACCTCCTTGCATGAGACTTCCTGGTTGACCCGGTTGAGGGGATGGTCCTCCAGGTAGAGCGGTTCCACCGGCTAGAAGGCTGCTGTGTTGCCCTCCGCCGCCACCGCCGCCCTGCTGCGCCGCCTTCATCATCTTTTTGTATTTACTTCTTCTATTTTGGAACCAGATTTTCACCTGCAACAAAAATCCGACGAGGGAACGATCAGGTCAGGTGGAACTCGTTTCGCGAGTTGTCAGTAGCTATTGGCGAAAGAGACCGAAACGATGAGGAGAAAAACGAATGAAGAAAACGCGGCCGCGGACGAAAAAAGAAAGAAAAACGAAGAGAACCTGCGAGTCGCAGCACGAGGTTGATGTACTATTTAACGTGGACCGAGACGGTGTGTACGGCTGCGGTCGCCAGAGACCAGCAATTTTCACTGTCTCTGTTGCCGCTGTCCTTCCGTCCGTCAAACATCCGATAATTACAGAGGCCGATATGAATTTCTGCCAGTACGCACCGAGCGTAATGATACACGCTTGTTCGGCGTGGCATACATATATATTTTGCAAGAGGGACAAGCGTACATAGTGAGTCGGAGGAGAGAGGAGGAGGGGTTTTTATCGACGTTGGTACAGCGACTGGACGGATATATCGATGATGAAGGAAGGATTGTGCAGCTTTCGATCGTATTCAGCCACGTTATGAAGAATCTACATAATACCGTCGTACCGTAGTCGCGCTACTGGGTTGCAAACTGACGTCGACGAAGAAGAACGAACGAAGGAAAAAAGATGAAAAAATAAGAGAAAAAGAAGAGAGGAACTGCTCGTTTCGTAACTATCGTTTCTTTTGCCTGTTTCTCTGCCTACACGCCGCGCGCGGAACGTCGAGTTCGGCCTGTGCGGCGGATACTAATGCGCTTGTGCCGCTGTTAGGATTGCACATGCGGTATTTTTTTGTGTCTTAGCGCGATCTATACATGCGCCGCGTGCACGTGACGCGCTGCTCAATCTTACGTAAGCATGGCTCGGCTAGGCGAGCGCAAAGAGCGAGAGAGGAACAGACATCGAGCTGAAGCTCTACGTTTCGTATGTTTTGCGAGTACCAGGTAAACGGTGCGCGTTAACCCTGCGCGTAGAAAAAATTCCGGAAGCGGAGGGCCGGCTTTTTTACCACATCTACGTTACGTTTTATACGGTGCTTCCTTTTCTGGGAAATCGAGAGTTGCAACTTTGTATGTAAATTTTCTACGACAAAACACTGGGATAAGAAAAACACTGATTACATGTAACATGAATAATTGCTGGAATTCTTGTGTTCCTGTCCTGTAGATTAATTCAAAAGCGTAACGAGGAATCTGGATCGTTTTTGGAATATATAGAATATTTTATATTTCATTCCCTTTTTGAGCTCTGAAATCTTTAACTTCTTACGCTTGATTTTAAAGAGCCACGACAAATCGATATTATTTATAATGGTTATAAATTATCCTATTTTTGTAATGTGAAATCAATATAGAAGTTTCGAAACGTATGTTTCATTCTAAAACGTTATAAAAAACTTAGATTCTTTTCAAACTTTATCAAATATTCAAATCTTCTTAAATGCTTTATGTTTCGAAATCGCCGTGTATTTTTTAAATTCACGCTTTTTTCTAAGACTTTACGAAAAAGCTTGAATTATTTCTGACGCTTATAAAATATTTTATCTTCATTAATTCCCAATTGTAAGAATTTCAGGTTCTGAAACCTTCGTAACGTAGAACATAGGAAACTCGGATACCGAGGATATTTTCCCCGTAGAACCTGCTATAAACCGCACACTCAACTCTCGAATATTAATCAAAGAAACTGGAACTCTTATCAATCACCGGAGAAGACGCTTCTTGTCAGTTCTCTGTGTCAACCCTCGGTGATCCGCCATTGCGTAACCGACGAGCGAGCGTTGGGTGTCGGATACGTACACGGAGTCCACGACTTTTTACGCCTTGGGCGTCAATCAAAAACCGTACGGTTACTTTAATTAACTAAGTCGG